TATAACTATTTATATCTGTTATTATTCTTGGATTATTATTCCGATAGGCGTGTGACGTAGGTAACGATGTCTTCTTAAGTACTTTGAAGATTTATTTATTAAATAAAATACAATATACTTACAGCTAACTTACATCACGTTAATAACTTAAAAAAAGTTTTAAGTTTCTTGTTAATGATAAAGATTAGGTACTATTTAAAATCAATTGAAAGTAATAAAACTAAAATAAAGTTATTTAGAAATAACTAAATATATAAAAATATAAATGTGAGGTCATCGGACGTATATAAATTTCTGGAGATATAGTTATATGCGTAGATCTTTATGGTGATAAAGTGTACTATATTATAAGCATCCATCTAATTTAGTTCCATATATTGAAAGTGTTCTTTTTTAATATTATTTTACGTATCAACCGGGATTATTTAATATTAATATTATTATGTACGCGAAAGTTTATGAGTTTGTTACTCTTTCACACAAAAACTACTAAATGGATTTCGATGAAACTTTTCGCTAATGTAGCTTATGCATCCGAGTAATACATAGGCTAAATTTTTTATTGAAATTTAACACGGGTCAAACTGTGGGCACAGCTAGTAAAATATACAGGTAACTTAATATTCGATTGTTTACTGTTGTTAAAAACAGAATGGAATTTTGTTATTAAAGCGAAACCATGCATTCTGATTGATTGCAATTGGTTTAGGTGATATATATTTATTCTGTCAAGCTTTCTTCAAATTATGCCTTTAATTATAGTGGCAAATAACTTGGCATACCAACTAATGTTAGGTAATAGCCCCTACACTACCTTTCAGGAACACTAAGGTGTCTCGGTACCCTGTAATTTCTCTGCTATATCGAACAAAGTAAGCTACTACTTTAAGGTAATTAACTGAAATAGGTAGTAATGGTATAGAGACGAAGGTCACGTAGACGATTTTCTACAAACTTTGCCTCGGTTTCTAGCTAAATTGTACGGATTGCAAATGTAAACGTAAAATAGTGGGGTTTATATAAACACAAAACGGATTTAATTTATTTAAAAAAAAGAATTGTTCCAAAAGTAGCTTTTAATTCTATAGTACTAGTCTCGGTATGATAAATATGTTATCTACATACTTATTTCGTACCTGCAACTATTAGGATTCAAATACGTTAAATGTTCTCTTTCAATATATTTGAAACTTAGATACTGTTTTAGTAGTTTTATTTAAATTTACGTCGAAGTATTGATAGATAGATATTGAATAAAAGGTGAGAGCTAACCATAAAGAAAAATTTCCATTTTTATTTATAATACATATGTAATATTACTTCTTTAGAGATAAATTTAAAGACATGCCTAAGTAAAATGTGATTGATGATAGATAACATAATATAAGTATAAATGTGTGCAATATGAATAAATATTTCTGTTAGGCTTTAATCTAATTAAAAAATATATACATATAGATCATAATCCTACACTAAAACAAAGAAAACTTTTCCTAAATATATGCAGTCAGTTCGAAAGGGTGCAGTCAGGTTATTAATATCCTCCACTCTAACTAACTAAGTAGTATATACAATGTAAAAAGTGTATAGCAAGTACTTAATATACAGTATTCATACGTCACGTGTCGCATTCAGTTGTCCCCGGTGAATACTCGACCTAAAATTAGGTGCTTCCACTGAATATTTGCGTGTCGGTGTTGTCACTGTAATGAACATGCAATACTTGTGATATTCACTATTCGTGAAACACACACGCCACAATCGTATTTACCATTTATACTACACTTAAGGTTCCTTTTTCAATAGCAAATAACTTTTACAAGTTATTCAGATATAAGATGTCATATTAGGACACGCGATTCGCAAGTTAAGTATGGTAAACGTTTCTACGGAATATATTTAAAAGACGCACTGTAATTTACGTTAGATTATTGTGCGATGTGTTTAACTTACAGAAATTGAGTACTAACATATCTGTCTTATTCATCATTAATTATTTATTGTGTAAAAGAGAAAGTAAATGATTTTTAGAACATTATTTAGTAGAATTACGTTATTGTAACGTGTGTAAAAATTTGCTTATATGTAAACAGAATTCATACTTTGTAAACGTGAATTATTAACAAAATATATTACATACGAAGTTTATTTTTAAATATACCTAGTAATCACAAAGTAGAAACCATCGTGGTATTTATTAAAAAGATGAAAGAAAAGAAAAAAAAACATTGCTCGCTAGTGGGATTATATTTTGTTATTATGTTGATAATGATAATTTCTTGGTAGATATAAATATTTTTAAATAAATGCCATTTTATGGGAGACTACTCATTCTTTATCAATTGAAGTATTCAAGCGATCGAAGTAACGGGATTGTATATATGTATAATATGAATTTATAACTTAGTCTTATCACCACAGTCCCACATAACTATACATCCAGATGAACTTCTGTCTTACTCGTAATTCAAACCCATTGTGTAAAATCAAACTATAACTAGGAATCATTTGAAACAAAGTTCGAAACCTGATATCTTATAAGTTCTCATTGTAATACAGCATTGTCGTCGGGTTTAGGTACGCTAAACTATATTTTTAGTTAAAGGATATTATTGGACATATAAATCGATTTAAAATATACATGTAAAATTTAATAGGTAATACTTTATTCCATAGCATATGACTCATCATTGTTTGAATATCTGTTACCAACAATTATTCTTAAACGCTAATAATCCTTCGTACTTAGTACTTTACTTTCATTGTTCTGATTTTAGCACAGCTGCTTAACATTACGTACATTTGATGCAACTTGTTCTTACACAAAAAAAACTAATTACTACTAAATTTATATTACTACTACTGCGATCGTAAGTAATTACAGATATTAATAAAAAAAACTTATGTAATAAAAATAATTTTAATAATATTACACATGTGCATATCAATCTGATTTTAAAAAAGATGCTCTATAATTTCCCAATTTAATAAGAGTTGAAGCATCTACATGTACTTTTATTGCATATAGTCTAAACTTTAATAGAGATGTTGTAATCACTTAGATATGAAGTACATACGAGTATGCTTGTGGGGACTGGTCTGTTTGGGTTACGAACACTGATTAGACTATTTGCTTTTGCAATAGCATATGATGGTGGTCCCTATATTTTCCCAAGTTTGATTTTAAAAATTAATCTGTATTATTGTAAACATGTATAATATTAATTTGCAAAGAATACGAGTTGAGTTTCTTGTTAGTTCTTCTCATCTCGAAATCATTCCGAACTGACGGTAGATTTGACATATCATAAGAGTCTCTAATAGTGTACCCACATGAATAAAGATACTTTGAATTTGAATTTGAATCAGAATTTCGTTATTAATGTATGGTTGAAGGTATCGTTGGAAGAGATTGTAATTTTATGTCTGTACATAATAGTAAATACTCCATTAAAAATACTGTAATAATATATTCCTACTAGGTTTGTAACAACGTAGTGGCCTTTTGCTTTGGTTTTTACCTGTAAGTTTGCATTAATGTGGTCTCGTTTTAGATTCTCGGTGGAGTCATTTGGGAAGCGAACACGTATAATTTCGGTTTCTCTAAGTTCCGCAGGGTCAGTTCGTAAAGCTTTAATTTCAGTAATTCTATGTACATTAATAATATAAAATTGAATTTTAATAACACGAATCGTGAGAATCTAAATATTATATGGATGTTTTATTTGTTTATACTATTTCTATTTGATAGAACATTTCTGTTGTATTGTATTGTACGCTTGGTATATTTAATAAGTTATAATACATTTATATATCTTTTTCTAAATGATTTTCTGTACTTTAATAATTACCTAAGTCTGTGTATCAATATTGTATAATAAAAGTAACCAAAGTGTTTTCATGCAATATTATATATCTATAATATTTTAATTGCACATATAAAATAAAATATACAATAATTTAATTTTAGTTACACAATTATAAAAAATACTATTGAATATTACATTATCTTATCTACCGACTTCCCATTGATTAATTAATATTAATCTTTATCTTTAAGTATACAGACAATTGAGGCATAAAACGTCTATTTTGTGCGTAATGTTCCACGTAAAATCAAAGCCACATGGCTGGGAAAAACAGTAAAATTTTCACATAATATATAGGCTAAAGAAAATAGGAAGAAATTCTTATATATTCTATAATAATAAAAGCGGGATTATTTTTAAAGATAATAATATATTGAAAGTTGAATTTTGAAGTTACATGAAAAGTTGTTGAAAATGATTAATTATCAGTTATTTTAATTTTTCTATACATGTTATGGAAAAATGGTAAATTATTTAGACATATATAGTATGATTAAGATACTATACTAATTTTTATTGTACCTATTTACATACACATATACTAAATGATGTAAAATTACTATAGGTTATTATTATACCCACACACATAAGATTAATAATACTTCACAATTGGTTAATGTTTCCTAATTAGATACAAAGTAGTTACGATATAGTAGACATTTCACTACTCAATCGATTCAATTATAAATATATAATTATAGTTGAGTAAGAAATAAAGTTAATCATAGCTAGAGTTCTGACTGCCGTCCATATGAATGGGGGATGAGTTTATCTAACAAATACCTCGTCTTTGTTTAGGAAACTTTATGTTTATTATTCCTATCTTAGTAATATTTTAAGTATACATATACACTCATTATAAGTAGAAATTTTAATAGCGATTTTGTTCAGAATTAAATCTAAACTTTCAAATTTGAAAGAGTAATAACATACACGTTACCGATAAGTTTTAAATTATAATTGTTGTTGTTTTTGTAATTTGTTGGGTGAAAATGCACAAGCTACATTTTTGTCGAACACTGAATCAAAATTTTATCGCTCTAATTTGTTTTCTTTTAATTTCAGCAGATCTTACCAAATGGTGCATCAACACATTATCGCTCTAATTTAATATATGTATTTCTATTTCAGCACATGCGTTGGTCCCATACGCACACGCAAAGTTTGGAGTGTGAGGAACATTTGTTGGCGCGGTGCAACCGGCCACGTGTGAACTCGGCCATCTTTGTCTCCGCTGAGCCCACAGGATTCGCCGGATTCGACGCCAGTGAATTTCTGAGGCGACACGGCTCTCAGTCAAAGTTGTGTCGAAAGGCCAGGTAAGTTTATAGTTGTATAAGACGTAAAAGTATTCATTAAATTCGATTTGCCCGTAACCTTTTTAGTATAGGAGATATACTGAATAGCTTTAATAGCTATATTAAATAAGTATGATTAAAACAACTATGATTTATAAAATCTGCTGAACTGATTTTGCTAATTGCCATTGCCACTCCATAATCGTATCACATACGTGATACGATTATGGAGCATTTCTGTATTATTTTTTATGCAATAATCATCTCTTCAAATTTTTTTTCTGTGTCATTAAAAATATGTAAAATTGAAGTCTTATACTAAACGTTTTCAATAGGTCTGCTGACAACATACCACTTACAACAATGAGCGATTCATCTGAACGCCTCTGTAAAGCCAAACCACCAAGAGAGGAGACCATAAACGAAGAAGCTAGCAAATCAGATGACAGTGGTAGTGTAGAAACTGTTAAGCACTTTGGACTACCAATCCTTTCAGTATCTGGCCCTTCACCTCCCGACGAGGACTATGATCAGATAGATGAGTATCTGTAGCATTTCCATACTAGTTTCCAGCTGAAATATGTGCTGGAAAAGATGAGGCCACCTTGGCCCAGTCCCGCACCAAGTCCGTAAATTGATAGCAATATCAACCTTCTTATTGCACTGGACGATGCAAATTTTGATAATAAATCATTGATTTGTGATATTGTGTAGCACCTTGGTCTAATGCGATTGAGTGAACTTAGTACGGAACTTTACGGAGTTGCCACAACGAATTCTCGAGACTTGCATTAAATTCTAATCTCTAGCTACTTAAATGTGTGTCTTGATGAGGGACCATAGCTTTTATAGATGGTATGGTGTGTTTATTTTAATTAATCCTTGACGTTGATATTTTTGTAACTTTACTCTCCTGCGTCTCTATTGAGTGTTAAATATAAATGTCGGCGATTAGATATAAAATCACTTTACTTGTAATTAAGGAATGCACAATAAATTTATTGTAAATTTATATTTGACTTAACAGTGCCACTCTAAATTTTATCTAGTATGGAAATAAATAATATGCGTAATATTCTTATAAGCAATCTTGTATAAGACACTTAATCTATTTCATAAATATCTATCTATGTACAAATGATAGTAATAATTTGCTGTGTCGTAGATATATTATTTGTTACAGGAATTATATTCACTTTGATGAATGTGTTTATTATAGATACTCCTCAAATGTACTTATTTTCTTTTATACAGTAAAATGTATGAGTATATTCATAGTATTAATTATTATAATATGCCTGTGTTTTATGTTCTGTACATTTAATTTCTTTGACGTCACTTATTAAAGTATTATTGTTTATTCTCGTCATAAAATATGTAAGTAATTTAAGTTAGATAATAACTATTAAGTATAATGTAATATTTAACTGCTCATCAATTTGTAAATCAGTCATGCAAAAAATATTTTAGATATTACTCTAGAAGGCATCTAGTAGGTACGAGTATATATAAAAATCTACGATGAAATTTAATTTATTGAAGCAAGATATATTAATAGTATGTATAGATCTTATGACAAGATTTGAAGGTTGAATTTTGGTCCAATGATATGTATTAACTGCACATGGTGTTTTAGACTGTAAGTGATAAAAAATATAATGAAACATCAAAGTATGACCCAGTGTAGAGAAAGATTAGATCTGTGAATTTTTGTAGTATAATTGTTCTAAATTATGTAAATTATATTAATCGTGCGATGTAAATAGTTTTTGATCCGCCCATTATATTCTTTCTTAGACAAAACACATTCCCTGTTAGATATTTTTATTTTCAAAAATAGATATTTTATGTGTCTAAAATTTGTCAATTAAAAATAATTATACATTATAATATAGATAATGTTTATCATGTAGATAAAGCTATTGAAATCAAGATAAATAATGGCACTAAACTGTCCTTTGATATAATTAGATTAAAATCTTATTGCTGTTCATTTTCTTATCTAGACTGTACTGGTGCTTAGGGACCAGAGGTTTAGGATGACATGTAGGCCTTAATTCCATTAAGCGAATATTTCCAGTGGTATAATACCTATTTCAAATTTAAGACTATATTATTCCCTCCACTATTTATATATATTATATTATCCTTCATTGATAAATAGATAGTCATTTGTCGCATGTACTAGTTTAATAATCTTGAAACCTTCCTCACTTCAAAGTATTACGCATTAAATATCATACATTCGTAATATGAATTTTAAATCTATTGGAGCACCAAAACTATCATACGGGTGAAGTGACTATATCAGAGGCAGCATTTATATATCAGTAGAAAGTATAAAGAAATTAACTTCAAGAATTCTTTCAAAGATTGGCTTTGAATTAATTATGAATAAAATTTTACAAAAGTTAAGAAGTAACCTATTTCAGAATGTGAGAAGGAGAAAAGAGGTACGTTGTGCTCTATTGAATTTTTATGCGATATTGTCGACATTTAAATTCGGTTTACAAATATTATCAAACTTAACAAAGAAGGTAAAGGAAGCTTATAGTGTTAACTTAAATGTAACTCTTTCTGAAATTGTAGTGGGTCTTGTTTCATTCGTAGTCCTTTTGATAATATTGAGAATTTTAATTATTAGAAATATACATTTATCATCAATATTTTACGTATTTAAAAATTACTATCAGGTTATCAGCCTTTAACATCGAATTTAAACCTTAATATGTACATATCCATATCACGGATCATACTCAATTATGTATCTATATGATTAATATTATTGTTCTTTGAACAAAAATAAAGCTGACAAAATTATAAGACAAGCTCTCTCAACTTGGTACAGAAAACGAATAATAAAATCGTTACCAATATTTTTATTGAATACCTGCGTTTCAACACTATCTTCATAATATTATGTACAGAATAGTTTATATTTACTTTTTTATTTACAAATCAATGTTGTAATGTAGAAAATATAAAAAAAATGTAGAAAATTAAACCCGTGTGTTATCAACGTTAAAATTGTCTTGTGCCAATATTTATGGTTGCATCTTGATTAGATAATTTCAAATAACTGTTATTGTATAAATTGGATTTCTATTTAGAAATCTCTTTAATTTATAGTAACATTTTAAAGTATAGTTTCATTAATCATATGGTTTAATTGTAATGAGAGTATAGAATAATTTATAGCAATTTCCAGTATGTAACACTGACACGAGTTAAATTTATTTATTGTATTAAAAATTAGAGTAGCTTTTACATGATACTAGTGGATATTCTTGTAGAATATTACTAACTGATGGTGTACATATCTATGATGGTCACGATAACATTAAAAATGCTCATAATTTTAATGTAAATTATTAAAAAATGGTCTACTATGTATATTGTACAATTATTTACATCCTTACGTCTATTTACTATCACGATGAATAATAAAACATTAAAACCTTTGAATGGTTTTAATTAATTTTCCTAGCCCAACAATTACATATAGAATTAGATTATTTTAGTAGTGGTCGCAAAATATTTGCTCAAGTTAGCTTATTATTTGATAGTGATTTATTGATGATTAGGTTGATAGCTAATTAATCCTATTAAAGACCCCGCTGATTTTAAAATCTGCAGCTATTCGATTCTAAGCAGTCATACATATGTATTCTAATATAACAAAGAAACTGCTATCTCAAATTTATTAAGTATTATATACCCTAGAAAATTTTCTCTTACTCAATCTTCCTTATTCAAAATAAATAGTATTGCGGACTGCTTATCGAGCTTAAAATTATCATATCTTTTAAATTCAACCAAATTACACGCATCGAGCTAAACCATGAAATTACAAAAGAATGGCGTATTTCAAAAGGTAGATGTCATTAAAATACCAATAACAAATATTTCATCAATTTTATGCTTTTTTAAATCTAAAATACACAAAATTATTCATAATTTGGATTACAAATTTTTAATTCATATCTGTGAAATCGAATACAACGTGAGCATATCAATTTTTTTTCCTATACAGCGTTAAAAAAACATTATCATGTTATTTTTTCATAACCCACTCCCATGGCCTCTTTAATCAAACATCACATTATTTTCGTTGTAGGAAGTTGTACCACAAAAATATAAATATTCGACGTTCAATAGAGTTCCGACATTTCCGTGGTGTCCATTAACGAAGGATGTGTTATTAGTTACAACACGGTATGGGAATATCGAAAGGTCAGCCGCTACTGCACGTTTGTTTTAGTGATGTCTGATTGTAGGTTTAATTAAACAAATGTTTACAGACGATACAATAATTATGTTATATCACTTATATAGTATAGGTATAAAACATAAGTTAAAACTATGTAAACATACGTTTAAGTCATAATATATGAATTCACATAATGACTTTGGTATACTTGTACATATTTTTGAGAATTTACTAAATGATAGTTCAGTCCATAATGTGTAATTTGTTATTCTGGATGATTTCTTTTGTAGTTAGGAGAAATATAGGTCATATACTCTATTAGGTATGGCGTATATTACCTAATTTACTGTATGTACTCAAAGTACAGGTACAGTAAATACAAAAACATATTTACCCCATACATTGTATACAGCGCGGTCTACGTAGAAACGTACGCCGTACATATACATGCGTGTTTTTAATATCGGAAGTAGTGCGACTAGAAGCTTAGATTAGGTAATTCTCAAAAACAAATTAGAAATATTAAATACATTTCGAAAGAACGACAATATTATAACCAAATAATATGTATCTCCTTCCTTACATCGTATGTCATATATTTATTAAAATAAACATTATATTCTATCACGGTAAGTTAAAAACATGCCAAACACCTTTATGTTCCCTTACATTATATATTTCAACTGGTACTTTTATACTGTTATATAATTGTAATAATTAAATATATAAAAAAAAATTAAAAGTCAAGATGTTTCAGAAAAGTTAAGAAGCGTTACGAGTACGAATAATGACCGAGCGATTGGTAAGTTGTCCAGTACTATTCGGCGTATGTTTTATTACTTCTTTAATAGTTTATAGCTATTGATTATTTCCAGTTGTTATCGAAGGCTGTATTATGAACGCGGGTCGATGTTTCGTTACGTTTTTCGTGTTTTTAGAAGGCGTAGTGCGTACTAACGAAGTCGTATGAATATTTTATTACTCGTGAACTGGGAACCATTTCATGTTGAAGACGATGATTTCGTTAAGCAAACATATAGTTATAGTTAAATAATAATAATAAATTTGTCATTGTTATGTTAACTGAATGTAGATACGCAACGATGGGGAGGGAAAATTTATGACCTAATATATTATTGAAGAATTATCTATAGTTATCAATCAAAAATTGAAAGAGCAAAAGCTTTCCCATGCACCAGTATTCATTACACATTTAGCTATTTGTATTAATTTAGAGATAATTTAAATAGATGAACTTATCCCTAGAAGAGATCTCTTCCATTCAACCACAAAATAGCAGAATGTGTGGGTAAAAATTCGTGCAAAAAAATACAAATCAAAAACTGAATAATCGTACCAATATCAAATTGTCCAATCTAAAAT